AACTGGGACATCTCGATCAACGAGGAGGTCCGAACACAGTTCCAGCTGAAGGCGATGAAACACCTTGTCAACACCGTTTCCGACTGGAAGCTGAAGTGGGAAGTAGACGGCGATGATGCGAAGCTGAGTTTGATATATACTATTGCTGGAACGGGTTAAAGCCGTATTGGATGGACCCGCATGCACAAGAAATTGCTTCTAAGTGTTCGGGCGTTCGAAACCGGGTCGATCTTGACGGTCGGAAGTTAGTGATTCAGCACACTTCTGGCCAAGTACCATTTGCGGGAAGACGTCTGATAATGGTAATTAAATTTAAATTATTTACTTATATATTTTTACATAATTTTGTATATATTTATTAATGTTTAACCTTTTTTGTAGGCGGATGAGAATGGAGGAGAGCTTCCTCCAATTACAAAGCTCTTCAAAATCACTCATCGGAAGAAGGACAAGACTTTTGTAGATGCTTGGTCAGAGGAGATCTACAACGAAGCTATGACGAGTATCGCTGAACGGGAGACCCAAGTCACACCTGAGGGTACTATCCAAGTACCTTTGACTGTCTTCGAGCAAGACAAGATCTTCGAAGAGGTATGATTTCAATCCTTTTAATTTAACTACTACTTATCTGTATATAGTTATGATCTAACGTTTTCACTTTTATTTGTAGGTTTCTCCGAGGAAGAAGGGCCGCATCCTAGAGATGGGCTCTAGTAGAGACTGTCCAGTCGCCTCATCTTCGGGAAGCCGCACGTATGAGGATCCGTCTCAACTGTGACAGGAGCTTGCTACAGCCCATGCTGAGATCACCAGCTTACAGGATGAGCAAGTGGTCCAGAAATAGGGGATCTCCGAGATTAATGGTCTCTTCGACGTCATAGCGGCAGCAATTCCACAGTTGGCCATCGCAATCCAAGAGAGGCAACGCCGGTCACAGATTCTTGGGGAGGGGGACTTCTTCCGGTGGATCTTCTGATCAGCAGACCCAGGGTCAGATTTCGGCTCTCGTAGTTCAGACGGGAAACGATGGTACAGTGGTTTTCGGCGGACATGACGGAGAGCCTTCTCGGGACGTCGATATCAACCTCGAAGATTTTGATATCACTTTGTAAATTTATTTTAATTTTTAAAACATTTTGTATTTGAATTTGTATTTTCATATATTAATTATTTTCAAATTTATTTTTTGATTATAATATTTTTTTATTTAATATTTTTTTATTTTTAATATTAATTTATTAATTAAAATTCAAATTTTCATTAATATTTATTTTTTTATATACGACGTAAACTTTACGTCGATTTTACGTCAGATGTTTTACGATGAATTAAAGTCGAAATATTTTACAACGAATTAACGTTGATAATTTACGACAAATTTACGTCGATCTTTAATTTTTTTTTACAAAACAAATTTGTCGCGTAATCGTTGTAAATTCAATGTAATATTACATCGAGTTTACGTCGATTTTGTGTTGAAACGAAATTCGTCGTATTTTCGTTGAAAAAGTTTACGCTGAATTTATGACGAATTCTTTCCGACAAAATTACGATGATTTTATGGTTTTGGAAGTTTTACGTCGATTTTACGACGTTTTGGATTTTACGACGCTTGATTTACGACGATTTACTTTTCGTCGCTAATTCGACGCAAATCGTCCATTACGTCGATTTTACGTCGGTATATTCCGATGTAAAACGCCTTCTTTTTTTAGTGAAAACTGAAGTAGACGTCATTGAAGTCTACTCTGAATATTTTTGGTCAAATACAAAACTAACATTTTTTCGCACACTTCACCTGAAGTCTACTTTGGAAAGTCAAACCAATTCAAATGTAAAATTGACTTTTTTTATCTAGTAGACTCACAGACTTCTAGTGAAGTCTACTCTAAAGTTGTAGACTTATCTGAAAAAATGACCTCTTTTCCAAGTCTATTCTTCTAAAGTCAACAGTTTGGTCAAATGCAACAATAACCTATTTTTTTGCTGACTTTTTTTCGCAGACTTCTAATGGAGTATGCATGCTGCACCTGAAATCTGCTCTACAAATTTTCAGGAGAAGTCTATGTGATTTAATTATTTTAAAAACGCATTTATAGAAAATTTATAATGATTTTTTATGTTTTTAGGTTTTGGCATGTGTGGTAGCTATACTGTCTTAACTACTCAATGAGATTGATTTGGTTTAAGTTGATATAATGGACAAATCAATTTCTTGATTTAATAGCTATTTAGCTTGAAAGAGCAGACTTCAAACAAAGTCTTCGAACAAAGTCTTCAAATGAAGTCTTCGAATATGGTTTGTAATTACGTTTGCTAATATGACTTCTTTGTGTTTTTTTTATAGAGAATGGTTCAACTACATGTTGTTTATGGAGAATGGAAGATGGAAGAGAACTTGTGGCATTTTGTAGTCGATAGTGGCAAAAGAGGAAGAATGTTCTTTTTGAGTGATGGTTGTACCTTTGGAGAACTTATTGAAATGACAGAAGATGATTATAATCTGGACAAAAAGACTGAGTTGGTGGAGTTAACTTACTCATTACCAGATTCAGTGTTGCAAAAGATGACTTCGGATACACATCCAATGCATATCACCAATGACATACAAGTTCGAAGCTTGATCAAGTTTAATAGAATGCATGTGGTACGTCTTTTTGTCTCGAGTCGTATGGAGATAGATACTGAGAAGATTCAGATGAAGATTTGGTTTAAGATGCAGGTGAAGAGTTTGATGAAGATGTTGAAGATATACTATGGATAATGAGACAGACAATAATTATGATGCAAATGAAGATACTAAAGATCCAGCAGATTACGCTGAAGGTGAATATTACATTATCTATGGAAAAGTGAAAGATGAAGATGATGATGAAGATGATATCTCTATTGATCATAAGGATGTGAGAAAAAAGTTTGTTGGTCAAGTAGGAAGATCCACTACATCATGGTCTGCTAATATCTCTGTTAATGAAAGTTTTCCTAACAAGAATAAGCTGTTATCAAAATTGTGATTAACGGCGGTAATGTTAAAATTTGCTTTTAAAGCATATAAGTCTACAAAGATGCTGTTTATGGCTAAATGCCTCATGGAAGGATGTGGATAGAAGCTTAGAGCGAGTGTGAAGAAGGAAGCACACATGTTTTGGGTGACAATATATGTGAAATTCCATATATGTTCAGTGTCAAACCGAATGGCTCACAGAAGCATATTTGGAAGCTATTTAGTTATAAGTCATTTCAGAATAATTGATTGAATTACATCACAGCATAGATCAAAGATTCAATAAAGCATATGCTTGTCATGAAGAATGCGAGTCTCTCAGTCTATTTACATCTACTTTAAAAAGTTAATCCGGGAACTATAACTGGTTTTCAGCATGATAACAATAGATTTAAATATCTATTTGTGGCTTTTAGAGCATTGAAAGCTGGTTTTCACTATTTTAGAAGAGTTATTGTGGTTGTCACTATCTTAAAAGAGTTATTGTGGTTGATTAATATCATCTAATTAAGAAGTACTAAGGTGCTATGATAGTGACAACTGTATAGGATCAGATATTTCTTTTGATTTATAAAATTGTAGATACTGAAGATAATATTACATGGGAACGGTTTTTTTTTTTTTTTTGTAACAAGCCGCTCCAACATTACGTCAAACGTTTGTAATATAGCTAATTAACTTGTATGTTCAAATATTTCTTTCTTTTTATAACACTACCCTAAATAAAATAGCATAATTTCTTGAGTGTCTTTCGTCATGAATTTTGGTTAGGCTATATTTTTTATGCCCATTATGCCCACCAAAATGTTAGGTTGAAAAAATATTATACATAGCTATCCTCGTGTTGCACGGATGTAATATTATATTACGCTCTTAGAGATTTTTTTTTTGGTCGTCATTATATTAGATTGGATAAGCAAACTCACTAGAAGTATACAGTCTCACGGTGGAGAAGATACAAACCCATGAAAGGTAACTAACAATCCCACAAAGAGGATAATACAAGCTCACGAGGGGCAACTGACCATTAATTAAGACTCTTAAGTAAAATTAAAGTGAGCTAATTAAAGCTCTTAGATAGAGCGGAACACATCCCATATCGGGATTTCGAAGTCTGTATTTATACGAACATCTAGATTTGGAATAAACCTTTCATCTCATTTTTCTGGTACGAAGCCAATTCGGGATATATCCGTAAGAAGCATACCCCTATGTATTTGTTCTCCTACGTTTAATACAAACGAGATTGCAACTAGAAGATACATTACATTATTACATAGAAAAGGGCGCACCACCCACATTTATGATATAAATATATACAACCATGTGGGTTGAGAAGGACTCACGTGGCCTCTTATCCTCTCCACACGATTCCAAAGAGTGGTCTTGTGCATCGTTTTCTCCGACCATACGCTCTTCAAGGTTTATAAAATCAGACTAGAGGGTTCCGTTTTCAACACTTTAAAACGGGTTGAGGGATTATACATAGAGAGAAAGAGAGATCAGAGAGTATCGATGGCAAAATTAGGGTTATGTCCAGTTTAGCAGTTATTGTAACGTGCTTGGTGTGTTTAGGATTCAATGTTGGGATGTGTTCATCAGATTCAGATCTCTTAATCAAACCTTACGTGTCATCATCACTACCGTCTAAACATGATTTGGTCTATTCCGCTAAACTTAATCATGGTAACTTAACCAGATTTTTGGTTAACTACATCATGAAAAATCTTTCTTTTTTAAAAAATATTATTAGTTTGCATTGATTTATAGCGCTTTATTATTTTTTTTTTTTGAATAAATGTTAAATTTGTATTCAAAAGAAAAAAAACAAACTGTTCTTACATACTTGTTTTCTGTTTACCAAGAAACAGAGCATGAATTTGAAAACTAATCCTATGAGATTATCGTGATGAAAACCGCACAGTCATACCATCCCCATATCTCGTATCCCCACTCTCTCGTATTACACTCAACTGGTTTCGAATCGCTTTGTCAATCAGTTTTGCCAGGCGATCCTCCGACTAAGGCGCCTCTCCATGTTTCCTCTTGTTTCGCTCCCTCCAGATGGAATAGATAGTGGCTTGGAAAGTGTACCAAACCAGAAAAGTGGTAGTAGTAGACCATGGTGGCTTATGAGAAGCTCAGTCACTGCATCCCAGTCAACAACAAACCGATTAAGAAGAAGCCCTTTCGCTAAGGTTCCCCAAACTTTCTTCGCAAAAGCACACTCGAAGAACAGATGGTTCCGGGTTTCCATCGGGTCGTTGCAGAAGACACAGGAAGCGTTTGCATTACGGTTCCAAGTCTTTATTCTGTCCCCGGTGGCGAGTCTGTTTTTGAATGCTAACCAAGTGAGGAAAGAGTACTTTGGGGTAGTCTGGGGGAACCAAACCCCTCTGTACCAGTCCACTCTCGGTTTAGCCTGACGAATGTGCATCCATGTGTCCTTTGAGAGGAATGTGTCTCTGTAGATGTCATTTTTTCCTTTCCAGCGAGGTATATCTGTTTCTGACAGCTCCCTCACGTTCGAAAACAGAGTTAGGTGGGCTTCAATATCTCTATAGATAGCCCTGCGATGTCTTCTCCTTCGTGGTTTGTCTAATGCTTCCCCTACAGTGGCTTGTTGCGGTATTCCCATATCTATGAACCCTTGAGCACCTGTGTTCTCATACAAGCATCCAAGGTCACACCACAGATCATACCAGAATGAATGTATGCGCTTTAACATTCTGTTTATCTATTAATGTATGGTGTAGGAATACTACTTCTTGATGCATCGGAATGGGAACCACTTGTGATCCAGTCCGAACTCCCGGTAATGGTTATGTTCTTAGACCCAGCGTGCCAACCATGTGTTGAGGTCATGGAACTACTAATGGATCTGGATACGGAATTCGAAGATCGGTTCAAATTCTACATGATATATCTTGAGGAGGATCCTGACATCACAGCACGTTATAATGTAGGAGCTATCCCGGACACTATTGTCTTCAAAGGCGGAGAGGAAATGGCTAGAGTCGTCGGAACTGATTTAGAGAAAATTCGGAAGCTAGTGGAGATATATGTGTGATTCTTCTCCCTCGTCTCTAGTCCGTTGTAGTTGCTTTTTTTTTTTGCCAAACCTTTGCCTCTGTGCACATCTACTATATGGATTTGTTTGTCTCCTTTCATCAACTGATGTAGTCATGAAATAATTTCTGATGTTCGATTTTGTTAAAACAATTTCTTGTAAAAGTTATGTGACTTAGATTTTAAATAAAATAATTTGAGTACTAACTATCATATTGTTGTGAAAGTTCTTTTGGGCTAGTGGTTGAAGGTTGATCAAACATTCGCTGATGATTTCAGGAGGTGTGACATATTATTATTTAGGCAGATTATCGGAGACAAATTTATGGAATATTTTTAACGAAAATGTTCATGACAATATAAATCAGTGTTAAGAATATCATTAATATATCCGATTATTATGATATCAAAATTGTATGGTATTTTTTAAATAAAAGTATGAGTTAAATCCAATATCAATATCATAATATCAAGTAATATCAACTCTACTAAAATTCATTCAATGTAACATCATATGTTAACTTAATAGTATTATTTTGTTTATATTAACCAAAGTCTAGAGGTCGCTAGTTCGAAGGGTTTTTGGGACAAAACTAATATTACATGCTGTGGTTCGAACCTGGAGGGATTACGGGCTTCGGCCAGAACCTCCTAATAATCCAAAAAAAAAAATAATAATAACAGAAGAATTGCAAAACTATCAAACAATAAATAGAAAGTTTGTAGCTCGAAGAGATCAAACAAGATTTGAGAAGTGATTTGAACAAGGTTTTATGTAGAGTAAATAGATTTAGTATTTCGATTTTCAGTAGTGATTTTACAAGAACAAGAATAAATAATTGGCTAAGTATTTAGCTATAAAATCAGTAGAGGAAGCGTAAAAAAGACACGGACCCCTTTTTCGAGGAAAAGTCAGACATAATGAGGCACACAAAGGTAAAGCAAAATGGATCCAAAGAAGCTGCTCAGTGAAGAATCCCAATGAAGAGCCCAACAATCAACCCGAAGAGGATCGAGAAGCCCTGGCAAGGTGGAGAAGTCCAGTCAAGAAGAGGGATCATAAGGCAGGCCGGAAATGAGAGGTAGGTTAAGAAAGAGAGACTAACCAGGAAGCTGCCCAACCGGAGCCCAGAATCAGGAAGCCAGTCCAATGAGAAGTAGAGAAGAAGAAAAATCTACAAGCGGAACAACAACCTGAGGAGAGGAAACCAAACTAAGAAGAGACGGAGATTTACTGGCGAGAAAATATGTTGATGTAGAAATAAAGAGGCGAGCCAAACACTAAGAAGACGATGATACTAATGGATGCAAGGGTTACTTCTACCTTCATGTTTTAAATTTACAATCCTAAATATCTGTAAGTGCACAGATGTGCGTTGTAGTACTTAGGGGTCGAATTATAAAGATTTTGAGCTTTCAGTATGAATCAATCAAGAATTTAACACTAATAGAACTAACACAATGGGAATTTGATGCAAAACGAAATAAAACAGACAAACAATTGTAAAACAGTAGGGACTAAGGGATGGGTCTAAGGGGTTTTCGTTGGGGTTCATGTACTGATCCAATGACAAAAAAATCGATAAAGGTAATCAACTAGTGAATATCCTAAACTCGAATAGGCGCAGGTATGATTAACCAACTCTCGTCACCTTAATCAACTAATCACTTAACTTGGCAATTAATTCTCGCTCTCTTGCTGTAATTAAGCTCATGCATTAAAAGCAGAATTCATCCATGCTCATGATTATCTATAGGTAGCTTTCGTCTCCTATAGCGAATTCGCTCGTATCACTTCTAGGTCAGGTAATCCGATACAACACTCTCGCGGCTCCAATTACCAAAGATCAGTTTCTAAGCGGCTGGCAACAGAAAAAGCACAAAGAACAAGAATGAACGAAGGACTCCTAGAAGATTATGAACCCTTAATCTAACAATTCACAAGTTCAAGACATGAAATTCCCTTTGAAAAATCCCTTAAAAACCCAACAGGGAAATTACTCAGACATAGTTGAGTTTAACATCACAAAAGTATTTAGAATTGCAGAGAATTGAAATGAAAAAAAGTAAGAAACGAAGAACAGAATGAAGAAGGAGGGCCGATGGTGCCCCTCTCGGTGGCTCCTCTTCATGGGTGACGGCTCTCTCTCGGACTCTTGACAAAATGCGGCACACCCTTTCTAAACGACTTAGAAAATATATATAGTACTGTCTTGAGTCTTCGGGAACGTCTAGGGTTTGCAGGGATAATGATGGGAATGACCTGAGATTTGAAATGGGCTTCTGAGGCTCGGAAATAGGCTCTCATGATTTAAAATGGGCCGCGAGTCAGCTTCCGACTGTGTTGATTCGCCATCAGTGCATTGACCGTAGCTGGAAATCTAACTGTATGATTGCTTCGATTCCAATTGCATTAGAAAGCTGGTTGTCTCCTCTATCTTGTGTCCAAATTTGGGGATGATCACACTAGGTGCACATATGTGCGTTATAGTACTTAGGGGTCGAACCATATAGATTTTGATGTTTGTGTGAATCAATCAAAGACTAAAGGCTAATAGAACAAACAAATGGGGGTTTTGGTTTTGGTGTCACTAAATCTAAGTTGAAAATCGAAATTAAAGGGTCGTAAAACAATACAAACTAAACGCTGGGCTTAAGGGTATTAATCTAATGATATATAAACAAGTCGATAAAGGTAATCAACTTTCCTGAACTCGAATAGACACAAACTAGAATTAGCCAACTGTCGTCACCCTAATCAACTAATCACTCAAACTCGACAAGTAGCTTTCATCTCTTGCCGTGAGAGAGATCATGCATTAACTAAAAAGAATTCATCTATGCTTACGAATCTCTATAAGTAGCTTTCATCTTCCATAGCGATTTCGCTCGTATCGCTTCTAGGTCAGGCAATCCAATATATCAATGTCGTAGCTCCAGTTAAACCTAAGATCAGCTTCTAAGTGGCCATCAAAGCAACATGCACTAAGAAAAATAATGAACGAATGACTCCTAGAAGATTATAAACCCTAAATCTAACAATTTATCGGTTCAAGACATGAAATTCCCTTTCAAAAATCCCTTTCAACCCAACTGGAAAACTACTCAGACATAGCTGAGTTTAACATCATTAAAGTATTTAAGGTTGCTATAAATTGAAATAGAGAAAGTTAAAGAAACAAAAAACAAGGTGAGAAGGAAATCCGATGGTGCCCCTCTCGGTGGCTCCTCTTCAAAGACGGCTACTCTCTAAGACTCCTGGTGAAAAAAAATCAACAGACTTAAAAACACCCTCTCTGAATGACCTAAAAGAGGTATATATAGTGTATGTAGTCTTTGGAAACGTCTAGGGTTTTCAGGAATACTGACGGGAATGACTTGAGCTTGAAAATGGGTTTCTGAGGCTTGGAAATATGCTCACCGCGTTTGTAAAGTTGCGGCCGCGGTAAAAGGTCCTCCAGCCGTGGATGAGAGTAATCTCACCTTCCGGACTGTGTTGATTCGCCTTCGATGCACCAAGCATATCTAGAAATCTAACTGTTGGATTGATTCCATTCCAATTACATTAGAAATCTGGTTGTCTCCTCTATCTTGTGTCCGAATTTGGGAATGATCGGACGGTGAGAATGTCTTCATCTGTTGCCAAACTCCTAACAGTCTGAATTTATCCAAAATTATATTTTTGCTCCAAAATGCATTCTTTTTGTCCAAATATCCTGAAAAAATATTTTGAAACTCTAAAATAAATTAAAAACCATTGAAAACTAATTTAAAACACCTGAATAAGATCTTAAAATCATCCATAAAACTGGCTAAAATAAGATGTTATCAACTCCTCAAGACTTAAACCTTTGTTTGTCCTCAAACAAAACAAAAATCAAAGTCAAGAAAGAATCTTAAAATCACAGGAACTAAACAGCATCTCAGTGACCGTCCTTTTAAACCATAACCAACATTATGCATCTAATGAGTGTAGTCTAGAAAATTCTCACCAAAATACAAGCATCACTAGTCCGTTAATCCATCATGCGAAAATCTACATACTTAGACCTAACTTTCAGTCAACTAGCTCTTAACATTAATTAAAAATTTCAGTGGTTCTCATCAAAGAAAAATAAACAAGGTAATTGAGACTAGGTATTCAAAGGGCTTTTAGGGGTAGAATTTAAAGTGTTTAAGGTTACCGTAATTTCTGAGGATGCAAGAGATTATGCAATACAACAAGAGATAATGGAGCTGATGAGATCCACAGTTACTTCCTCCTTGTCATAAACTCTCAGACACTTGAGCCCTGATACATATTTCGGTTTCAGTGGTGGGCTGTCGGTCTGGTCTCCCATTTTTGACTTCTTCTTTAAGTTCTCCTCATAAGTCCCCCATAATTAGATTTTTGTCTAGGTTATAACATGATATCTCCTGTGAATGAATACTTGATGCTTTTTGGCTCCAAAATATTTCGCCCATTAAAACTCTTTTAAGCTTTTTTTCCTTTCCTTTCATTGTCTTCTTCCTTTTTTTTTTTTAAGAAAGGGAAACCTTTTTAGATATAGAGTCTTAAATAGCATGAAAATTACCAATAAGAATGAGATTTCCGAGGCATCATGAAATAAGATAAGTTGCTGGCACACTTCCTCCCAAAATTCTGTTCAGTCTTTCTTTTGATTGACTGAAAACTGTGTCGTCCCTCCATCTCTGGCGTTTTTACACATATCTGTTGATAAAAACTAAGGAGAGAATGCGTGAGGTTTGAAAATAAAGGCTTGGGTTAAGGGTATGGTATCAGCTAAAGATGAACTGGCTATCCAGGACAACAAAGAGTGATAAAAATGAAGAAAAAGATGTCATGGATGCATATCTTGATGGCTGCCTATAATCAATGATGAGAAAATTAGATATCAAATTAAGTTCAAATAGAATGAGCTAGTATACAGAGGCGGACCTACATGAGGAAAAGGGGGGTCACTTGAACCAAGTTAAATTATGAAATTTACAAATGTAATA